AGTCATCGCAGATCGACAGACACGTGTAAGAAAGCGCATGCCTTGTTCGCCTAATGCCTTGAGCATTTCAAGGCGGATTTCATCATTTCTAGCAGTCTTTCCACAGCTTGTGTAATTTCATCCACACAGATCGTAATATCCGGTTCCTGCTGCTCTACATGAGAGTCTTCCTGCGGTTGCTCCGGATTAATTAGTTCCTCGAAGTACTCTCCCCATCGCCGAAGATTGCCATCATCATTGGTATGAGAGTGTCCAGTCATGTCGTTCAAGATTCTTAACTGCTCTGCTTCCACCTGGAGCCGGCAGATGGTCTGCCAGAGAATCTTGTTTGCCGTGTGGAAATTCGACTCCTACGCATCACCGAACTTGTCCCAGGAATCACCTTTGGCATTCGCGACTGCTTTCTCTGCCACCTTGCATGCCTCGAAATATCGCACGCGCGTAGAAGGCTCTGTGTTACTGTACCATTTTTTGCTTTCTTTTCTTTAACTGCCAGTTGTACCTCTCGTGTTCACCCGGAAGGTCTTTTGTGACCTCCAGGCTGCAAGCCAACCCGTATTAATCCGAAACATTTGGCGGCCGCCTTGAGTATACCGTTCTTAAAGAGCTGCTACTCGGTTTCCACATCAGTGGAAATCACTGGGACCTGTTGAAGCCGTCGTGCGATGTTGTTTGCAAATCTCCCTCTCGTGTCTACCCAAGATAATGGTTCCCATTTGATTCTCTGGTTGCTTCTGTCGCCAGGTCTTCGTATGGTACTCAGTTTTTACAGCGCAGCGTGCCAACAACAAGGCGATGATCGGTTGATAGCTCTTCACCTCTCTTAACGCGAACTTCCATTACCGAGCGTCTTAAGTCAGACGATGCAATTATCAAGTCGATCATCGACTTCTGTGCACAAGCTTCCCTCTATCGGGTATATGCACTCTTCGATGCTCGAAGAAGGTGTTCATAATGGACAGTCCTTTGTTTCCACAAGTCCGTAGCAATTTGAGGTCGCTAGGGCCGTATTTTCTTATCACGCCGTTCCACTTTACAGCGTCTACTCCGAAATGCGCATTAAAATCGCACGTTAGTATGAGGGACCCTGTGTTCGACACTTCGGTCAGAGTACACTGCACTTCCTCAAGAAAGGTCTCATATTCTACCTCCAAATTAGGCGCATAGACCTGTACCAAGGTCAACGCTTTAGCGGAGGATTGCCCCTCTTCCGGTGACACGGTTCCAGTCAATAATTCTATCGCCGAGGTTGGGTTCTACCAGAGCACCAACGCCGGCCTGAGCGCAAGTCGTGATATCGATGCCTGAGGAGGAAAGGTTCCATTCGTTGAGGTTTAGGAGTGCAGAGCCTTGTTGTTTGGTTGACGAGAATCCAACAATGTCGATTTTGTATTTTATGACTTCTTTATCAACTAACTCTTGTTCTTTTCTTCTTTGAGTATGTGTTCCAGTCTCCGACTTTAAGCTCCCACTGGTGGTGCCGTTCTCGTGTTCCCTTTTCTGACTGCTATAATGGCATCGCACTGTCTGCCTCCTCTGTTCAGAATGGATTGCGACTCCGTTGCTGACTTGTATCTTCGTCGTCGCTCCGTCGGTCTTCGTTAGCCGTTGTTATGGCTATCAGAGGGCAATGAGCTGGTTCTGATCACCGAATTTCTGATTGCCTCAGTCCTCCAACAGCGTGTGCGGCCTTTGGTTACCCGGGGGACCTCCGGGCCGGTATAGTTTTCGATGGCGTCGATACCATGAATGGCAGGTAGCTAAAGTTTACAGAGACTTGCCGCTGTCTCCAACACTCCTTTCTTGACCGGGTTTGATACCGGCAACGGCGGAGTTATCGAGCCATCCAGTCACTATATTTTGATTTTAGGTACTGGGTCAGAGTAAATGGCGTTAAGTCTAAGCCTTCCAGCGTTGACACTGGTCTCCACAAAGGCTGCATTCTGTCCCTTTTCCCATTTGTGTCGTATATGGATAGAATGGTCTTGCCAGCATAGTCGATGAGTGTGTCAGTGTATGAGATGTTGTGACGAGAAGATCGTTATTTGCAGATGACCTTGTTTCATTGGCATCCTCTGAAACTGATCTGCAGCGCTCTCTGGAAAGGCTCGCATCAGTACGAACGTGTCTAGACCTACAAGTTTAGTGCTTTCTCCTTCTGTTGCCCGATATACAAGGAAAGGAAACATTGGAGCATGTTTACCGGTGGTGGTTAATAGGAGAAAGAGATCAATCGACTGATTGGAATCGCCATTGGCGTACTGCGTAAACTAGTGTGAACCGTTGTGACTGAAGCAGAACTGAATCTTTAGATCAGCCTCTCTGTGTTGAGATTTATGCTCATCCGGAAGTTCCAATGGCCATGACTGAAAAACTTCAATTCCAGGTACTAGCGGTTGAAATGGGGGTTCAGCTCCCGTGCTTCGACACGGTCCGAAGTTCAGATATCCGAGAGAGCCATGGTACATGCCCGCTGCTTCTTCAGATTGAGAAATGAACGTTGTTATGGTTTGAGTACGTACTGCAAATGCCTGCAGGTGGCCGAAATAGCTAGTACGTGCGCGACCGACTGGCGGAAGATCCCGGGGTGACCAAGACTAACCTGGTGCATGTGTATCGAAGGACTTGTTTCTAGATTTCGGTTTCTTTTGTCGAAGTTCAAACTCTGGCCAGGAGCGGGAACGTTGTAGGTACCGGATGACGCGTCTGCCTCCACGAAACGTCGACAGACTTTTTAATTGGCAAGTTCTGTTTGTCAGTACGCGCTGTCGCGCTGAGGTTATATTCTGTTTTCCTTTTGGAAGAACAAAAGTAAGAAGAATTTGTAACCGTTCGAGGGTCTATCTTCCTTTCACTTTCGTGATGGAACCATTTTTGGCGACCCTCTTTTCATGAAGTTAATGGTTTTTGAATGATCTCTGTTTTCATGTCATCAACCAGGATTGTCTTATTTTAAAGGCAGAGACAACAGCAACTATGCATGGAGCATAGTATGTATGTATTCTGGTGTTTC